CCCCTTGATAATCGACCATGACTTGAGACTTTATTCACTCGTGTAAAGTCGGGCACCACTCGGGAGAATTTGGGAGAAACGTTTGGAACAGCCGCTTCACTACGACTTTAATTAATAAAATCTTTAACCAACTTCTGCTGTGTTGTTTTAAAGTGAAAATAAAAGGTCAGTATTTTGGAAGATGGAATAAATATTCACCACAAGTCAACACAAAGTGAGTTCTTCAAAATAAAAGCACTTCCTGTAGGAATTTGTTGATAATCATTTTAAATGTCCTTTTAAGCATAAATACATATTTACTGTTTATTGTAGCTCGATTGTTATTCGATATTAATATGTATTATATTGTAGAAATAACACAAAGAAGTTTAATTTCTAAAAAAAGTAAAATCTAAACTTGTTTCTGCGTTAATTTAGATGTAAAGGCAGAGCAGGTTTATTATTGAAGCAAAATTCACTAGAAGAATAATTCAAAGTGCTTTAGATGAATAAAATGAAAAGTATGTGTTGCTGACAGACCAGCCACCATGAGTGATGAAGCTAAACTTGGCCGAGGCTGGACCCCTGACCTCAAAGCGGTCTGGAAACTGCGTCCTACCTTGAAGACGGCGATGGCGTACGGATGGGGCAGCCCCTCCATCAGAACGCTCCTCTGCCCCCCGTCGAAGTTGGCCCTCTCGATGCGGTCGCTGTAAGCTTCGGTCCAGTACAGCCACTGGTCGTCGGCGGTGATCCCGTTGGGCCAGCGGACGCCTTCAGACACTATGCAGGACACGTTGGTCCCGTCCATGAAGCCGCGGTAGACGCCGGCGGCCCGGTCTCCCCAGTCAGTCCAGAACATCATGCTGAGGAAGATTAAAGAGGTGCAGCCATGTTACTGCTGTTCTACACACAGGCGCTAACCGGACCTTTAACAGAACCGTTAAATCTCTGATCAGAACCAGGCGGGGGATCGATTCAAGTTTCAATCTAATGATCCTCATATCAAAAATAATATTCTTTACTTTTTGCAATAAACAGCCAATTAATAAAGAGAGAAATAGCTAATGGTGGCTGCAAGGACAATGGAAAAAGTATTTCTTAAAAGCCAATTAATCAATTAAACATTATTAAACATGATTAACTGATTATTGAAATAATC